AGAATTAATAGTAATGTCCTCTTTATGATATCTTATATTAATATACAAACTGATTTTTAAAGGGTTTGATGAGAAAACTTTAATTAAGTAATCCAAGTTAATTTATAGTATATATTAAAAGTATTGTTGCGTATCTGCTTCTGTGTTAATTTCCCGTAGAAATTCTTTCCGAGAAACTTCAGCGATACAAGTCTTTTCTTAATTAAAACTAGTTTATTCTTTCTCGATACAACTTTGCAATACACATAACTTCCACATTCAATACGTTTGCAATCTAGATAACAAAACACACACTTTATATTACCGTCACTACCGCTCGCTTGACTCAATTATTTGTCTCTATATCTATCTATCTGCAATTATTTGCCGGGCTTATATACTAAAAAGGAGGGGGCCTGGAACAGACCAAAGTTGCCAGGACAATTCAAGATCCTTCGAGAATCTCATGACGTGTTACCAGAGTCACGTGACTTCCGTTGTCGTAACAATTATCGTAAGAAAACCATACAGCATTGAAATATTCATTTTCAACTTAAATAGTCATTACTTAAGTTTGATGTGTTAATAAAATGTTGTTGTTTTTAAATTTTTAAACAGAATTTATGGATGGAAATGGAACAACTTGCTATCAGAGTACCGAAGAAAGCGATTTTAAATCTGTTGAAAATTTCTTTGTAAAATTCTTTCAGGATATTTCCAAATGCAGTTTGATTGTAGGTAGGTTTGAATTCGTGTAGATAACATTGAATGTATTGTAACAACGATTTAGTTTAAACTGACCAAGCTACAGGTGTTCACAGTAACTGGTAAAACAAAATATCTTTTAGTGTTGATTTTAATAACATTAACTTCTATTCTTTCATATAGAAATAGATGTATAAAACATAATGTAGTGACAATATAAAAATGTTTTATTTCTTGGATGGATATCCTGTTTGTCTGTTGTGATGTGATTCGTGAACTATGATAAAATACTTAATTTAACAGATCAACCTTCTTAATGTAAAGTGATATCTATTATATAGATAGAGTAACCATCAAAATATAAGTTATTCTAAGTATAACGGCTTATAAGTCTACAAATCGAGTTTCGATACCCTCTGTGGGCTGAGCACAGACAGACAATTTTGTAGTTTGTGCTTAACAACAAACAAATAAAACATCTTTTGAAATATTATGTTTTAATATTCTATTAATTAATTGTAATACTTATACCATAAAAACTGGAGTTCATGTTTTCCATCTTTTTAATGTTTTGACGTGTACACGTTATAATAAGTGGTTTAATTAACAAGAGATTCATGTTAATTTGCCCCATAGTGGCTCATACCTAATTCTGAAGACTCATATCGCTAAAACCCGGGTTTCTATACCCGTGCTGGGCACAGAACAGATACACTATGTGTAGCTTTGTGCTTAACAAAAAAGAAATATACAATCATGTTCATTTTCATTTTACATAGTAGCTGAAGACGCTTTTGGATGTGTACACACTGTGTTCTCCACCTGTAGCTATGACGTCAGAGATGTTTACAGAGGTTTAATTGAGACTTTCATGGAAGAATCTCATTGTTTTGAAAACCTTGATCTTTCTTTCAAATTGAAGATATTGTAAGAGTACGTGGGCAACATTAACGTTGTTAATATTTTTGGTATTGTTTGTGTAAAACATGGATTTGGTTTAGTTCCTTATGTTTGTCATATTTTTACGTAAACTCTGATTTATAAATATTATCATATAGTTTATATAATCTTTCAGCGTCACGCGACTTCGGCTGTCGTAACAAAACGTTACCGTCGCATCTTCCTTTGTAGAAAAGCGTTTTCTGTCGAATTTGCTATTATTCTGCACTTCAATTCCAATTGATAACGTGACATCCCTATCCATACCATATCCAGTTTCTGAAACATTCTTTTTCTTCCATATTATGATAATTTATAGATAATTCTAGAGTAACTTTTTAACCTATCAACTAATCAACCTTATGAGATCTAAACAACAGATGTTTAATCTGTCTATTATTTAAATACACAGTAAATAAACTGGAAGAATTTTTCTCTCAAGTTAAAAGAGTTGAAGATGAGACATTAACGCATCATAAAAACATTAAATTTGAATTTGTATAGACTGAAATATACTCATAATATTATTAGCCACATTAGCGTTTGCCTATTATGGGGGACAGGTCCTCTGCAACTTTAACACTAAGGAGAAAGTATGTGCATCTGTCCACTATATTATAATTATACGATTATATTTTTGTAAACAATAAAATACACTCAGACAAGATTACTGAATAATGAGAAACGTCTCCCTCTGGTGGTCACGG